AAAAAAAACATTAGTTTTTAGAGAGACCTGAGGAAATATGAAAATCTGATATTAGCAGGTTTTTTTGGTTCGAAAAGTTAGAAGTTTTTCCAAACATCCCGAAAAGAAGTAAGCTGTGCTAAAGTTCCTATCGATGATGTTTTACAGTTTTTATAGACCATATTTGTAAATTCAAAAGTATAAAACATCTTTGTTAAGAACATTGTCGGGTACAGTGCCAATCGTTGGTTATTCTCCAAAATGGGGTGGACCTACCATGTGTCTAAGTTGCCTGCAATTTTTTGATTTACCGGACCAGATGGAGCCATTCGAAGAGTTTGTACTTTCTTACACCGTCCTGACTTTGGATATCTTGAAACTTCCTTTTCAGACATCTCTTGAAGGAGCATAAAATCGTTGTTTCAGAAATGGGCCTCATCGTTGATCCAAAAAGGTTGGTTTTCTGATTATCTTTTATGGCTGAGATGTATTTATAAGTGCTTTGAAGATATATCGAGCACTGGCGTCAGCGTTTCGCAAAAGAAAGTGTTGACAAAATATTCCCACGCGTTGAACCAAAAGAGGGCGAGAAGTTCTTTGGTATTCTCTTGACTTTGTCTTTACGATAATCATTTTCGAATTTTTGTTCGTTTTAGGCGATACTGACTATTATTATAACATGTCTGAACTATTACCGGAAGATTATTCTCTCCGACAGCGTCTGGCCATGCGTCGTCTTGAAGAAGCGCTTTCATGTCAGCAGAGAGAACGGTTAGCTTATTTGGCTTGCAGTTTGTGGGTAGTGCTGAATCTAACTTTTCACTAGTGAGGACAACAATTTCCAACAACAATGCATTTTCTGCCGCTATACAGCTCGCGGAAATCGTTCGAAGATTATCCATCACCTCTACATGATTCATCACCTGAATCTTGGATCCCCTGATAATCTTGTGTTTGTGACAGAATATATCGAGCATCTCAAAGACAAGCTGACGGTAAGGCCTTACTCTTCGTTGTTACAGAGCCCAAAATTTTGAAATTGTATAAATGCGCTTGTCCTTGTGTTCACCATACAGCTGATTTCTTCTGAGTTATGGATAGAAACAATGCATCACTAGGCAAAATCTCAAAGAAATTGACACGCTAGAACTTTAGCGCA